AACAACTTACTGTGATGGTGACCAGAGCACTCGATAACCGTTTGAAATAGTAGGATATTTGCTAGTCGAGACTTCGCATCCACATCCAGGAGCAAACCCAATGCGTTTATTTTGTAAATCAAATGTCAATCCAAGTTGGGCCATAAATGGAATACCAAGAATTGCATTGTCATTTGAACCAGCTTTTATAGCAAATCTAACTATAATCCAACATGTACATTAGTCAGGTTAATCCAACAACACATATTGCATACAATTGTCAATTATTTACATCTTTCAGAATCAACTCTCTGTATATAGTCTTTGGAACCCAATTTGATTGTTACAACAGAATTGCGATTGGCATCAGTTACGGGAGTTTGAGCATGCATTGTAATTGAAAGCGTTGGCAGCTTGCCCCAATCGATATCAAAACCGGATTCAAGCATTGCGTAGTTTTGCGAAAATATTTTTTTAACCATTACTTTTCCGAGTTTGTCACTAAATATATTAATGTTGACAGTGATCGCACCACTATCAAGAATAGCATTGACCAACGTTGACACGACTACTTCAGGAAAACGCATATGTAAAAAGCATGTTTCCACACTCGAGTACAAAGTACGTCCATTTTCCATTATTGTTTTTTGGAATTCCTCGGGCAGATCCACTGGTTCGTCATTGACTAGTATACTCTTGATGTTGACAGTAAATTGATCATCTGATGGTGAGTCTACCCATGCAATACTTGTTCCATCCGTTCCGCATTTTGCAGTTATGTCCGTGTTTCCTATATTGATGAAGCTATTTGAAGTCATTTCATACGGACATAGTTGAAGACCAATCTCGTTATTGGGAATGACATCATGATTGTACAAAATATCCATTGCAGTGGTTTGTGGATGATGTTTTGACAACGAGGAATAGGCAAAGCCAAATACTCCATCAAAGTTTGGATTGATACCAACCGAATCTGCCGATTGTTTTTCAACTGATATTACTGGTAAATTGATGTCAGTTATACTAGTACCCGGAATCGTCACAGTGGTTGTGGAGGTAACTCCATTATACTGTTTGCCTTTGTAACCTATAGTAACGGGTTCCCCACTTGGAGTGTGTTGCGGAGCCAAACCTACATCATTGCTTGAACTAGAAAGTGGTACGATTGTATCAGACATTGCTGAATCGACTCGTAAATTCAACTATTTTAAACAAGTGTGAGATTGATTCAACGTAGTGCAAGTTGATATCAAACTACAATGCATGACATGATACATACATTGACTCCATCAACATTGACTTTAATTGTGTAGCATTTTGTGATATCACCACCCAATTCAACGGGTGATCATTTTGACAGTCTATTGTTTGATTGACTGTCAATCCCAGAAGGTGGATGTAATGCAAGTCGAACTGCGGCAACCGCCTGTAACGCAAGTATAACGCATTCTAGAGTAATTAGCATTGTATCGAGTAGTGTAATGAAAATGGGTTGAATCTGATACATGACTGCCGTTTTATAACGACGGTATCTTCAAGGGTGACAATCGGCAATCAGCAATCTCCAAATGAATGATCACAGAAAACACCAAAACCACCATGTAGGGTCGACAAACCCGGAAACACACCGTAGGGTGGATCGATATACAAGCATCGCTGTTGGTGTAAAATCAACCTCAGTAGTCTGCTGCGTTGATCTCTCCAATTGCGATCATGTATTCAGTAATCAGATAGTGTCAGATTGTCACCCTGATTATGGATAGTGATCATCACACATACAATCCATTACTACAACATATACTGTCACTGTATACCAAATATTTGACTGATTGTTCAATTGGTCATGTTTATGATTTGTCCGAGCAATTCAAACCATGTCAAAATGGTTGTTGAAATATAAATATATATCATCCAAAGCTGATTCAGATTGTCGCTAGCTGTAATCTGTTGATCTGCCAATGTGTGACCATGTGTCAATGCACACAGTAAACTTGAAACCAACTTGCATAGTTGTCAATGTTCAAATCAAAACCGCAAAGTTTCATTCTAT